TTTTCTTCATTACCCATTCAAGCCGTCTCCAGCCATAATTAACAATAGTTTTTTTTTATTTAACTATCACTCCAGTCAGCCACTTTGATATTCACCTGGAGTTGATCTTGCTCAATGAAAACTCATTATAAACATTTTTATTTTTTTTTGTTATATATTTTGCATGTTTCTTTCGAGATGTTTTCTATAACACAGTTGACAACAACAACTTCAGTAGTATCGGAACAACGAGATTTCCAGTAGTTTACCTGCTGATGTATACGAACAAGATTTCTTTCACTAACATCAGCTCCGGGACTTTCCTCTAGTGGCTGTCTTCTACGACGAATGGCGTTTTTCTTTTCTTCTGGGCACTGTAATGATAAACACAAGTTCAAATGAAACAACACGGGGTTAGGAATCTATACATTTTTGTTGTGGTAATTCTTTACACAGAAGATACTAAAGTTTGAAAAGCAATAAGATCAAATGACTAAAAAAAAATCTAGAACTCAAAGGGAAGAATTCTACCACGTACTTAAATAAACTTGTCAAAATGAAAGTGTAAATTGTCAATCCCATCATGCTTGATATTTCTTCTAAACTAACAATTGTAGTTTCAGTTGGTCGGTTGATAGACTACTTGCTTGGGGTGCAAGAGGTTCCAGTAGATGCAAAAGTTGGATTATTACAAAAATTTATTACTCAGTTAATGTTCATCTTGTATCCCTAAAATTAGGCCCAAATCTAAGCCTTGTTTGCAAAAGTATGAAGAAAATTGTAGTTTCAGTTGTTTACAATGCCCTACTATAAAATGCCGTGTAGTTAACACTTTTGTTCAGTTGATAGACTACTTGCTTGGGGTGCAAGAGGTTCCAGTAGATGCAAAAGTTGGATTATTACAAAACTTTACTACTCAGTTAATGTTCATCTTGTATCCCTAAAATTAGGCCCAAATCTAAGCCTTGTTTGCAAAAGTAGGAAGAACATTGTAGTCAAGTAGCTGAAATGTTAAAAAAATGCCTCCTTAGTAGAGATTTTGGGGTTAACTGTCCTTTGATCCATATAGATATTTGTATGTATGTGTGTCTGTCTGTATATATATAGAGAGAAAGATACCTTTTCCAAGATAATTTCCACACATCTTCTCAACGGATGACCAATGGGCACAGTATTGGAAACTTGCTGCATTTTCTGAAACCCCAAAAAAGCATACCACATGCTATTACGTGTATTCTATTTACCTCAGATTTACAATATTTGTAAAAATATTTCTTACAACTCATCTTTAATATCTCTTACATTCTTTTCACTCAGAACATTTTTGAAAATATAAATAAGCATCATCGGGAAAACCTTTAGTAATTTTCTTCTACAACATGCTAATCTCTTGTTTGGACAACTACCAGAATACGTTGTTTTAACCAGACAAACCACAGACTCATATCAGTTATAAATATCAAATTCAGTCTTCTAATTGTTTAACCGTAATGGCAATTTGTAATATTATATCCATATAATTTAAAGTTACTAGAATTTAAATAAATAAAAAAATATTGTTTTTTTTGTTAACCCATTAACTGCGGATGACGGATATTTCCGTCATTGAAGTTTTATGGCTCAGCTGCGACTGACGGATATTTCCGTCATTGAAGTTCTATGGCTCAGCTGCGACTGACAGATATTTCCGTCATTGAAGTTCTATGGCTCAGCTGCGACTGACGGATATTTCCGTCATTGAAGTTCTATGGCTCAGCTGCGACTGACGGATATTTCCGCCACTGAAGTTCTATGGATCAGCTGCGACAACCGGATATTTCCGTCATTGAAGTTCTATGGCTCAGCTGCGGATGACGGATATTTCTGTCATTGAAGTTCTATGGCTCAGCTGCGGATGACGGATATTTCTGTCATTGAAGTTCTATGGATCAGCTGCAACTGACGGATATATACGTCAGTCGCATATATATAACTATAACTATGCGAATGATGATAATTACCATTTTATTGTGATTAATGGCAACTCAGTTTTATCTGAGTCAGAAAACGGCAACTGAGCTGCTCCTGCAGCAGTTAATGGGTTAATGTGTCCATTTTGGATAAGAGTTATATATTTAGTTACATTTGAGTTCCACAAACAATCTGATACTGTGAATACAAATCATATCTCAACCTAACTTCACTACATTGTTTAAAATCTTTCTGTAAAGAAATATCACATTGAGATCTCGCAAATTAATTATTAATCATTAAAGGTTTTTTAAAAAAAGTTTCTTTAAGCTTATTATTATTATATGGTTTGTTATGCTTAAAATTAACTTTATAAAAAAATGGAAAACTTTTTCACAACCTACCTCCAAAACATCATCCACTTTTTCTTCTGCCTCACACTTCTCTGTACTTAGTTTTGCTGCTTTAAAGTAAAGATAATTCAGCATGTGTCCACGTTTACTTTTATTCCAGCAGATGCGAGGAACTTCTACCAACCCATAACCAAGAAGCAAAACCAAAAGAAAGAGCCCCCACGTGTTGCTTGCTGTGATGCAGATCACTTTCAGTTTTGGGCTGAAAAAATTATGTTAAACACACTAATGTTTTGCATTCGGAACTAATATAATCTAGGCCAGCGTTTCTCAACCAATGCTCTTAACTTGAATTTAAATTTCTGTATGTGTGTGGGGGAAGAAATGGAAGACTTGTCTCGGCACTGTAACTACAGAAAACATCATGCAAAAGGTAAGAAGAAAAACTACAAAAGAGTGAATTAAATAGAAGTTTTCAACATTACCAGTTATACAAATCTTTTAAGTTTCAATAAATTTGTAGTCATTGTACACTAGGATTTATTATTTATTATTGTGTTATTAATAAGAGGAATTTAGATTACCTGATGGCAATGAATATCTTAACCTGTAGATAAAGTCCACTTATATCCATAACTTGTAGTATCTTAATGTGTAGATAAAGTCCACTTATATCCATAACTTGTACTATCTTAATGTGTAGATAGTCCACTTATATCCATAACTTGTACTATCTTAACGTGTAGATAAAGTCCACTTATATCCGTAACTTGTACTATCTTAATATGTAGATAAAGTCTACTTATATCCGTAACTTGTACTATCTTAATATGTAGATAAAGTCCACTTATATCCATAACTTGTACTATCTTAATGTGTAGATAAAGTCCACTTATATCCGTAACTTGTACTATCTTAATATGTAGATAAAGTCTACTTATATCCGTAACTTGTACTATCTTAATATGTAGATAAAGTCTACTTATATCCATAACTTGTACGATCTTAATATGTAGATAAAGTCCACTTATATCCATAACTTGTACTATCTTAATGTGTAGATAAAGTCCACTTATATCCATAACTTGTACTATCTTAATGTGTAGATAGTCCACTTATATCCATAACTTGTACTATCTTAACGTGTAGATAAAGTCCCACTTATATCGATAACTTGTACGATCTTAACGTGTAGATAAAGTCCCACTTATATCGATAACTTGTACTATCTTAATGTGTAGATAAAGTCCACTTATATCGATAACTTGTACTATCTTAATGTCTAGATAGTCCACTTATATCCATAACTTGTACTATCTTAATGTCTAGATAGTCCACTTATATCCATAACTTGTACTATCTTAACGTGTAGATAAAGTCCACTTATATCCGTAACTTGTAGTATCTTAATGTGTAGATAAAGTCCACTTATATCCATAACTTGTAGTATCTTAATGTGTAGATAAAGTCCACTTATATCCATAACTTGTACTATCTTAATGTGTAGATAGTCCACTTATATCCGTAACTTGTACTATCTTAATGTGTAGATAGTCCACTTATATCCGTAACTTGTACTATCTTAATATGTAGATAAAGTCCACTTATATCTGTAACTTGTACTATCTTAATATGTAGATAAAGTCCCACTTATATCCATAACTTGTACTATCTTAATGTGTAGATAAAGTCCCACTTATATCGATAACTTGTACTATCTTAATGTGTAGATAAAGTCCACTTATATCGATAACTTGTACTATCTTAATGTCTAGATAGTCCGCTTATATCCATAACTTGTACTATCTTAATGTCTAGATAGTCCACTTATATCCATAACTTGTACTATCTTAATGTGTAGATAAAGTCCACTTATATCCGTAACTTGTACTATCTTAATGTGTAGATAAAGTCCATTGATATCCGTAACTTGTACTATCTTAATGTGTAGATAAAGTCCATTGATATCTGTAACTTGTACTATCTTAATGTGTAGATAAAGTCCATTGATATCCGTAACTTGTACTATCTTAATGTGTAGATAAAGTCCATTGATATCCGTAACTTGTACTATCTTAATGTGTAGATAAAGTCCATTGATATCCGTAACTTGTACTATCTTAATGTGTAGATAAAGTCCACTTATATCCGCAACTTGTACTGTCTTAACATGTAGATATAGTCCACTTATATCCGTAACTTGTACTGTCTTAACATGTAGATATAGTCCACTTATATCCGTAACTTGTACTATCTTAATGTGTAGATAAAGTCCACTTATATCTGTAACTTGTACTATCTTAATGTGTAGATAAAGTCCACTTATATCCGTAACTTGTACTATCTTAATGTGTAGATAAAGTCCACTTATATCCGTAACTTGTACTATCTTAATATGTAGATAAAGTCCACTTATATCCGTAACTTGTACTATCTTAATGTGTAGATAAAGTCCACTTATATCCGTAACTTGTACTATCTTAATGTGTAGATATAGCCCACTTATATCCGTAACTTGTACTATCTTAATGTGTAGATAAAGTCCACTTATATCCGTAACTTGTACTATCTTAATGTGTAGATAAAGTCCACTTATATCCGTAACTTGTACTGTCTTAACGTGTAGATAAAGTCCACTTATATCTACTTCCCCTAATTTAGACATGGACAATTAGTAGAATTTGACAATCGATTCATCATTAGGCTTATTAATCAATTAAATTTAACCAATAGATTACATTAACACAAGACTTGGATAGTTGGAATAATTGAAAATGGTAATGATTAGAAACACAAATTTTGATTAGTTGATGATTTACACGAGTCCAATCTGAATTAATCAGAAATAACTGTTGATATTTTGATTACTTGAATAGCTTGGTGGCTTGGTTAACTACAACACTACTGGGCTAAATGTTTGATCCCTGATCTATGTCTACTATTAAATCTGTTCCATATATCCCCCCCCAAATACTATAATACAATGGATGTGTGAAGGATCTCAGTAAGATAAGAAACAGCTCTCGAATTATCTCAATATTATGTACACAAGGGTATTAAAAGAATAAAACCCGTAATCTTGCAATATGATTACTTAAATCTTCTTTTCAAACTGCAGTATGATTAATTAATATTTCATTGAAATTGTAATATGACAGGAGTATTCTCTGACAAGCATTCCACTGCACAGAATACAGGTTTTGTAAAAGAGTAACTCACCCATCCAGATACATTCCAGGCTGAGCTGCAACATATATCAACAAGATCCCAAAAATAAGCAGATAAGTGCCGTAATATATAGCATTCTCCACCACAGCAGTCCGTAACTTCCCCCCCACCGTAAAGTCTCCAGCCGTAGAAAAAGACTGCATCATTGGAAGAATAAGCCTGTAGCAATGAAACATCTGAAATCTTAAGTTAACGTCATTAACTCAGGTCACATGTACATCATATCGAATAAGCCTATAGCAATGAAACATCTGAAATCTTAAGTTAACGTCATTAACTCAGGTCACTAGTACATCATTGGAAGAATAAGCCTATAGCAATGAAACATCTGAAATCTTAAGTTAACGTCATTAACTCAGGTCACTAGTACATCATTGGAAGAATAAGCCTATAGCAATGAAACATCTGAAATCTTAAGTTAACGTCATTAACTCAGGTCACTAGTACATCATTGGAAGAATAAGCCTATAGCAATGGAACATCTGAAATCTTAAGTTAATGTCATTAACTCAGGTCACATGTACATCATACCTGTATGTTACAATTAGTGGGAGCTCATGTCATCAAATCAGGTCACATGTACATCATACCTGTATGTTACAATTAGTGGGAGCTAATGTTATTAAATATAACAAAGTGAAATATATCAAACAAAAATACAGGACAGTATAATAAAGGCTCGTACCAGCACAAAGTGAAATATATCAAACAAGAATACAGGACAGTATAATAAAGGCTCGTACCAGCACAAAGTGAAATATATCAAACAAAAATACAGGACAGTATAATAAAGGCTCGTACCAGCACAAAGTGAAATATATCAAACAAAAATACAGGACAGTATAATAAAGGCTCGTACCAGCACAAAGTGAAATATATCAAAGAAGAATACAGGACAGTATAATAAAGGCTCGTACCAGCACAAAGTGAAATATATCAAAGAAGAATACAGGACAGTATAATAAAGGCTCGTACCAGCATAAAGTGAAATATATCAAACAAAAATACAGGACAGTATAATAAAGGCTCGTACCAGCACAAAGTGAAATATATCAAACAAAAATACAGGACAGTATAATAAAGGCTCGTACCAGCACAAAGTGAAATATATCAAACAAAAATAGTTTCATTATTTATTACAATGTGTTTAAAAAGTATACTTTGATTACTTATTCATTTGATAAACCATAAAATGCTAAATACTAACATCTATTTTCAGTAACATAAAGTTCAAGCTGTAGGAATAATGTTAGCTTTTAATCTTTTTTTGAATGCTGTGATTCTTTCAAACTGATTTCTGCTAATAGAAACATTTTCAACTGATGTGACAATCTTGTCAAATGGACACACCTCAGATACATAAACCACTAACAGTACAGGTTAATAATTTCATTGTTGAGTGAGGGAAACTGAATTATCCTAAATATTATCAAAGAAATATGCATGTTAAAGCCTCAGATTAATTAAGTTTTTTTTTCTTACATGTCTAAGTATTACTTTAGGATGAACAGTCCCAGCAATATTTTAGCCTATGGTTTAAATAACCTAATTAATGACGGAAAACAGTTTGTTTTTGCATTGTAAAAATATATACATTAGTTGTAATAACAAGACAGAACGTAAAGTCCACAAATATTACCAGGTCAGAGCCTGCGATGTCCAGTAGACAACTCGCCACAGACTTGGTAGTACACCAGCAGGTATGTGACTCCATGGTATTTCACACCTCTTCTTTTCGTTCTTTCCTGTGATAAAAAGAAAACTAGATAAAAAAAATAATCTTGCATGTTACGTAATTAACAGAGTCAATTTTAACAGTACAAGGAATATCTTGGTCATGTTAAACCATATCGTATGCTTTTCTTATTTTTTTTGTTTTGCTTTTGGTAATGACAGAGTATTAAAATTATCCCTATAAAACCACAGTGTTTATTGACAGATTGATTGGTCTTTTTAACTCCAAAGAAGACAC